TAAGAACCTTCTTTTTTGGAAGAACCCCTGTCTTCTATATTGGAGACCCTGGAGTCGACATTAACCACTGAGTTAATGTTGAATCATCATTTAATCCAATGTAATGTGTTCAGGATGATATTGAGACTACCCCGGTACTGCAGCGCCTGCGTGAGGCAACCAGTCACAAACTCGATTTCTTTTTTCTTAATAACGTTTGTTCAAATTTTCATTACACCGAAAACCGAATTATAACGAAACCGTTGTTCTTTCTGGATATGTTGGATGTTTATCACAAAGACACGATTAGGTTCGGTTAGGTTATATTAAGTTAGGTTTAAAATAAAAAACAAATTCCTCTCAAAATTCCTTTCGAGGTTATGAAAATTCGAGCAAACATTACTTCTGGAAAATGTAATTTCGGCGTACTGATAGGTAACCCCTCCGGGACGTTTGTTTTGGCCCATAGGAATTGCTTTCACGTCGTCTTTCGAAAAAAGTAGCATCGTTTGTTAGAAGGCTCCGGGGGAATAACAACAGCATCCTGAAGGTTGTGGCAGAGGGCCACATAGCTCCTGTACTGAGGCATCTCGTACGGACAATGATACCACCACCACATGACATTTTAGATTTTAAGTAATTAAGTAATATGTTACATAATCTTCCTACTAACAATGGCTTATAAGATTTTTCTCTATTTTACTAACACAAATGGATCCTGTTATCTGAAAATAAATATTTTGAATTTAAATTTGAATTTCCTTTAACAGTGAAGGAAAATATGTTGATTGTACCTGGACGTCAGAGAAGGTATATATAACTCCTAGAAAACCCTAATCGGGCCAAGTTGCATGGGCTGCGTCCCGGGGCTGGACATCTCAACCTATGCCCAGCAGTGAGATGTTGGTGGAGCTATAACATTTATAAAACAAAAGCCTGTCTATTAAGTACACGTAATCAATTTAAATCGCGTTTTATTCCAGGAACTGCAATTCCATTTATCAAAAAGAAAAAAACGCTATATCGATCGATTTGCGACAAGTTTTACTACGAACAACATGTGTTCGAGAGTTGCAATTAAAAACTTGTAGAACGGCTGTTCTATCACAGTTTCAGGCAATAAACTGTGATAGATAGGACAATTTAATGAGGTTTATACTTCAAATAACATTAGCTTTTTTTCTCCTCGTATATCACATAGGTTCAAGTACTTTAAGATGAATATAGAGATCGCCGAATATAATCTGACCTTCTATTTTTATATGGTATATTAAATAATACAATAAAATGTGGCAATATTCTGAGTCAATAAATATGAACACACCTTATAAATACCCCCGTCATAAAATAATCAAAATATTTAATGTACCACGATGCCGGACGAACCTAGCTCTGCACAGTCCGCTTTAGATTTTTTTATGATACTTAGTGACTGGACGAACAACTAAGCGACACGCCTGTCCATAACAGTTGCAGTGCCAATCAGAGCTTTAAATCGCAAAGATCCAAGAGGCACTGCCACTGCGCCCGACACCTGAGTTGTAAGTTGAAAGTCCCATGTGCCCTGTAATTTCACCAAATTGTCGCCTTAGAGCGAAAACCTCGTATAAGCGTTTTCACATAGTTCGTTTTTACTGACTTTTGTTGCAGAAAACCTTATAATCTTACTTAAATATATCGCACTGCTAATACAATAGTGTACTAACTCAAAAAGTTAATTTATTCAGAATAGCTGTAAAACGAATTACTCAGTTCCGTGAAAGATTATTATAATTTACGTATAGGTTAAAATTTATTAGATATCAACTCCTATTTGCCAATTAGAAGTATATTTGAAAATAAAAGTAAAAAAAAAATGTCATATTTTTTAGTAAGGACTGTTTTATTCAGAACTAGCTCACAAAACGTTTGTCTCATTCTGGGTTAAGTAGATTTTATTAGAATAGAATAGAATTTAGATTACATTTGAAAATGTAATTGGTATGTTATGTAAATGTAGTGTATGGTTTCTTACAATATTCTAATGACAGTTTTATTGACATGAAGATAAGCAAATTTTACGTTCAGAAATGGTATAATTTTGAATTTTACGTATTTTGAGTTACACCACTATTGTAATAGCAGTGCGATATTATCAAAGTAACATTACTTACTTACAGTAACCTAAAAGAGGTATAATAAAATTAACTAATTAAAATGATAACTACAAACATTATTGGGTTTACTACATTTTGCACCACATTTTTATCTTCGTTCTGAAAAATTACATACGAGGTGTTCTACTACTAACTAAGACAACGAAATGTAGAGATATTTCATTATACCTGTAATGTTCTCAAAAACGACGTTCTCGAATCGCTTTGGGTAAGCGAGGCGTCCTCCAAAAATTAAGTTGGTTTATTGGAGGTATCGATAATATAACGCTAACACGATATTTTTAACCGAGTTCAAAAAAAGGAGGAGGTTCGCAATTCAACTGTGGGTTTTTTATGTATGTTTCGCGATAACTCTTTTTTTTAAATATGTAATCCGATGATGATTCTTTTTTTGTTAGAAAGAGGACACCTCAGAAGTGGTCCCATTTAAATTTGTAGAAAATATTCCTACCTCTAAGGGTGGCAAACTAGGGCAAGAATGACTTTTGAGGTCGGTTTTTTTAGTACTCGGTACTGACATTATGACTCTCCTGCAAATGATTATCGTTGTACTATACACTGGGCGTGTACGTGATCATAGTATCCATAATATGGCCTGAGTCTGTTCACTTCTCATATTAAGTCGATGTCCTCCGTGGTCGTATCGTTTGTACACCGGTTTTCGTGGTGTCACCATCTCTGAGGCCCTAGATTCGATCTCCGGCCCGGGTCAATATAGAAAATTAACTTTTCTCTTTGTCTCCGTTTATGTTTGTGATATGGTCGTCGTTTCCAATTTCCATAACACAAATGCTTAAGCTTCTCACTTTGGAATCAGAGCAACGAATGTGATGTCGAATATTAAGTACATTTTGATCCATACTAGGCCTTAGAAGATTATAGAGAAGAATATTATCAATATAGTTTTGATTGTCTTTTAGGCACAATGTTGTCATTTAAAGTATTGTTTACTAATTATCCGAAAAACTTGCAGGCGAATCGGACAACATTTACGAACCTAATGGAAGATCATGTGACGATACGGGTGCGTCCATGTATGTGTATCGGTGTGTAATGACCGTTATAACAACAAATGATCTAATTTTTATTTAGTATAATGAATCGTAACACAATTTCAAATGATATAATCACTCATGTGATATAATTATGATTAATGAGTGGTATAACAACGAAAGGTATAATGTCATTGTGTGTTATAAACCTTCTGTATAATTCAAATCAAATAAACAAACATATACATAATAATTGATTGAATTTAGATACATTTGAGACGTGGTGCTGAAGAAGAATGAAGGGAATCAGTTGGATAGTACATGAAAAGAGAGGCTTATTAAAGACAATAGAGAATCGATGGGGCAAGATATTTTGGTATCTAATAGATTATGACAGTTTTAGAAGCCTTTTAGAAGGGAACATGGAAGGAAAGAGAGAATTGTATAGCCTTAATATACCATCGGTATATTCGATTGAATATAGTATATTAAATATGTTGTATCAATTGTTATTACACAGATTTTTTTTACGTCCATCTTACCTGGTGGAAAGTGACGATGGGGTCGACGATGGAGCAAGCATATCTAAATAATGCCTATTCACTCTCGCCTTGAAAAGGTCCAAGTTATAGTGTTCGGGGAATACGTCTGCAGGCATGGAAATCCACTCCATAGAAATGTGTAAGGGTGGAACCACAGCCTATGTCTGGTCTCCCAATGATGAAAAGGGAAAGGTATCATACAAGGACATTTCATTATGTTCAGTGAGCATTATTTAGACTAATGAAATCATTTTTTGTTATACCCAGTAAAATGCATCCGTGTACCGTAACTTGTGCGTTTGGGCTAAAGTGTATTGTGCAAGCTAATTATTTATAACTTTTCCATATTATATTTTGGACTCTAATCACTTTCTTCCTCTTTCTCTATCTCTCCTTTATCTACCAAAGCAGAGTTAGCAATTGCAAGACTACTTTGCACTGCTGTTTCAGCTATAAATAATATTTCGTTATTTTTATCAAGCGAAGCGAAGGTGATGGTTGATGGTGGTTAGGGCTTTCAACCTGGGAGTCTCGGTCGAGATTCGTGACCTGAGTGACGTGACTTTTGAGATTAAAGTTACTTAATTAAAAAGTATTAATCTACAAGATATACAGCATTTTTTTATTGTGGTTAGTTGCATATGGCTACACTTATAGAGTGGAGATTATTGGGAGCTTTCATCCAGCATTATTGTCCGCCTCGCCGTCCGCCGCGTAATGCAGGATTATAAATGTAGTCGCAGCGTGCAAACCATCCTGCAATCCTGCAATGCGTCCTGCGAGACTACATACATAGGCCGTACCCAGAATAGTGTGTAGCAGTCTCCTATCTGTGTGGTGGATTGCCAGGCAGATAGTGAACGGGCTCTTTTAGTATAGTGCATGGCGATTGAAGAACGGTTGTAATAAAATTAGTATCTGTAACTTTAAACGGCCTTTGCTTCTTACGTAAGAACTATAAAAATGAAAAAACTTTAATAAATAAATTTAAATTTAATTTGATTGTAGAATTTGAGTTAAGAAAGAAACTTAATTAAAATATTGTCATGTGTTAACTGCCTAAATGCCTACCTTATTAGCATGAGAATATATTTTTGAAGTACTCGTAGTCTCAAAAGTTAAAAACGAGACGAGAAAAACGGGTTCTCGGATTTTTTGAGATCGCACTGAATCTTGATAATTGTAATTCTATGGGAATACTGTTGGTTGATGAAACACAGCTTTTGTTCCGCTGGTAGATAATATGCTTAAGGGTTTGATGGAATGAGAGGTTTAAGAAAGCTTAATACAGCATTCAATAATATAGCGTATACGAAGTATTTCTGTTCCAGGAGTGGATTCAGCTAACGGTGATGACGATGCCCCTGCTGAAACATCTAATGCAGAGGCAGTGCCTGAACATTGCATCGTTGGTGGTGCTCATGCTTTTATTTTAAGGGTAACTACATAGTCAGATATTCGCTTTAGGGTCTACAGAAAACTCAGTGGCATTAGCTGAGTGGACCTTTATGCGTACGTTATAATCGTTCATGGCAGTAGTTTAAATTGTGTTGATTGTTTGTAATTTTATAATTATTATGATGATTGCTTCGTTGATTTTTTTTATTTTTGTTTACGTGGCGTAGCAACATATGTCTATTTTAGAAATTTGCAGATGTGGCCTTATTACACCAAAGGTCGAATTGTGATAACAATGTCCGGATAAACAGCTGGTTGCATATACCAGAAGGTTTAATCTGAAAGAAGAACGACGGAAATCAATTTCGATTAGACGTTTTAGTATTTGGCCAATAAAAAAACGTGTATGTACATAAAAGAACTAGCTCTGATTAATTTGATTTTGGAATTTTGCTTATATTTATTATCTGCCCATTTAATTTCAAACTAAATTGTCGATATTGAAGCCCCTAACCTGATCAACAAAGTATATTATCTAAAACCTCTCTATAAAAGCAATCAACTAATTCCAGATATCGAGTTTCTTCGGCCTGGCCCCGTTGCGCTTCGAGCCATGTAACAACGGCTTCACGATCACGCTCTCAAGTGCTATGTGCATATATAGCTACATATTGGTCACTGTTTTAAGTAAGTTTTACATGAACTTTTTTATCATAGCTCTTATTGCGCGTAGGAGTACCTCAAGGCAGTTTAGCCTACTTTTACCGTACTATATACCTATATATCGACTATCAGAAGCCTGTTTAATTTGTAAGTAATTTTTAAACTGAAATATGTAAGCACAAGATCAAAACCATTTCATTTCTGACCTTTGACTCTACAGGGTTATTAGGTCAATGGTATTATTAACATCATAAACCGCAACTTTTGTTTCATGACTTTTAATAATTGTTTTACTTTCGCACAATAAATAGATCGCTCTAAATAGTGGTGGTGGTACGGCAGCAAAAGAAAGCACGTGAAAGGCGTTGCTAAACAACTTACTTCCGACTACCAACTAAATACAGATCTAAAAAGTCTCAGGTAGTACAACAAAAACTTAAAAGTTTACTTTTGGTAATTTTATTGCTTTATCAAAAGTCATGAAACTAAAGTTGTTGTTTATGATGTTAGTAATATACGAGTAAACCTGCGAGAATGTTAGTATGTTACAAATAACCCGGTATAGTTTTCTTCAGAATCGGTTATGGCAATGAGCAAGAATTGAAGTTTCACTCGAAACACAAGCTAGCTAGTCTGTCTTTTAAGTTAGACAGTTAGGCTAAGAAGTAAGAAGTACCTAAGTCCATGTCTTTTTATTCGATTACCTCGGAACAGACAATGTTTATTAGCTTTTAACTTTGTAAACTAGAGACCAGCATTAAAATATTACTGTTCTCTTTCGGAGACAGTGAGAGCACCTCAAGGCAATGTGTGACGTCCACATGTTTACATCAGAAGTTTAAAAAAAAGAGTACCCCAAGGTTCCATCCTATGTCCACACTTTTTTAGTACGTATCGTAGTAGATATCTAATGTATCTGTTTTGAAATTGATGACGATGTTTTTATGTGTAACCTTAAAGTACACTATTTATAGAAGTCGTGCACCTGATGATAAGCGATACGTTTGTCCATAACAGTTGCAATGTCACTCAGAGCTTGAAAATCGCAACGATCTCAGGGGCACTGTCACTGTGCCCATCACCCTGAGGCTAGCGACGTGACAAGTTCTATTTGTTTCAACTAGAGTTACTCGAGTGGACTTGACTGCTAACTCGAGTTGCAACTCGAGTTAACTCGACTCGGTGTTTGACAGAGCAACCACGAGTCGCGAGTAGAACTCGCAAGGACGATTCACCGAGTTGGACATGATGGACTGGCCGACCGCGAGTCGAGCGTGACCGAAGGTCATCGAACCGACCGAGCTTGCTCGAGTTCACAAAGTCTCTCGCTCGCCTATCGCTCACGACTCGAGCGTGCTCTGAAGGTCAACGACGCGCTGTATGAAAGAAGTATTCGGTTCGTTTTAACCGAATTAGCTCGAGTGCATGAAAAAGTAACTCGAGTTGACTCGTTATAGGAGTAACTCGAGTTAAGCGAGTTAAATAACTCGACTCGCCCATCGCTACCTGAGACATAAGTTGACAAGTCCTACGTGCCTGTAACTTTACCAGCACCCTTTACCCTTTAAAACCGGAAAGCAGTAATGCTCACATTACTGTTTGGCGGCAGAAATAGGTAAGGTGGCAGTGCTTCCCTGGACGAACTTTTTCTAAAGGAGCTCTACCGCTACAGGGGCTAAAACGGTACTGTATTTATTATATTACATTACTTATTACTGAGTTTACATAATACTACTATATTTTTCAGTAATCTGCACAATATTCGGTCTAGTGGCGGAAATTAAAGTCGGCATTGAGGTGTCAATTCGTATGACATCACGGATGTCCCAACTAGTATCAGCGTGTGACGTATTGGTGGTAGCCGTGACAGCAGGTGCGGGAGTTTACGGAGCACCAAGAAGGATGAAGAAACTGCTGCAGTTTATGGAACATATAGCTTCGGTTTGTATTGAAAGAATAATTCTTAATTCATTTATTTGTGAAAATACAGGTTGTATAGAAATTGAAAACTTACTTACTTAACGCGACCACTTGGTCCCTCAGAGCGGGACGCTTGTAAATTTATTATTGTTTTAAAAATAAAATACAAGTTAAAAATAGTAAAGAAATGTTTAATTATTAAAAAAAAGGACTTAAAATGATCAAAAATTTAATAACGCACACGCTCATAGCCCCGCACTTGGGAAACCCTATATCGCAGGTACTATCGACACACACAAAGACATCCACAAAATACACCCAAACTCACGAGAGAAATAACTGTGGACCATACAAATGTTTCTCCCGGCCTGGGAATCGAACCCAAAACCTCTGCGTGGCAGCCATGCTGGACTGCCACGCAGAGGTTTTGGGTTCGATTCGGTCGGATTCGGTTTCGCGTTCGTTTTGGGAACGGTTCGCCTACGGAGGCAGTTAAAAAAGAACTATCCTTGTGTAGTTATAATGAATGATTGGTGACGACAGACTGGCGTTATATATTTTTCACTTTCGCGACATTTTTTTTTCGCGATACGAAACTTCAAAGCGGGACATATGATCATATTAGGTATACTATACATTTACTCACAATGCACTTCAACAAACTTGATGACCTCATTGGTCAATTGGCTTTCACACCAGTTATCATGGTGTCGAAATCTCTGAGGTCCCGGGTCAATGTAGAAAATCTTACTTTACTATTATTGTCTCAGCTCTGGGTATTTGTGATACCGTCGTTATTTCCAATTTGCATAACACAAATGCTTTAATCTTACTTTGGGATCATCGACAACGTCATATACGTTGCTCTGATATTTATTTATACACTACACGTATAAATACACACACACGTAACACGTAACACACACGTAATTCGAATTACGTTGCATTTTAATATTAAATGCTTGGCTTAAACAATGCTTTTTCTTTATTGCTCAAAACTATTATTATGCAACTTTGAAACTGGTATACTAAACGTCATTTCTTTAAGTCCTTATTGAAAATTTGAGTTTAAAATATCGGAGAAAACTTTTTCTTCGATGCTAACTATATTTTTATATAAAATGTTATTAGGATAAAACTGCAAGGTGGCTCGAATTATGCGTCCGGGAGTGTATTTATTTATTAACAAACAGAAGTAGGTGTAACATGTTTTTTTCTTTAATAATACCACATTGGCGTGAGTGTACACGTGAATAGAATAAGTCAGTCAGTAATTTAAACGCGGTGATAGGTATTTGGGTAAATTTTAATGATAATAATTGTGAAATGTAACTAGATGTTAAAATAATTTTAAAAAGAGAGAAAAAAGTTGTACGGTCGATTGGTATTTGAATAACTTAAATGTCGAAAATTAGACAGTGAAGTTTCTTCCAAGTGAAATTGTTGTTCCACGCTTGCAATACATTTCTAGTCCGTAATATTCTTGGGCCATGGTTTCCTTCTATTTCTAATACGTCTTCAGCTTTTTTAACTAAATCATTAGACATGATATTGAATGAAGGAAGCAAGTTTTACGGGTGTAAATAATGTAATTTGTTTTATAGATGGACAACAAGATAACAATATCAAGCAAGATCTTGAAATAGTTAAAATTATTTCGAGAATATTATCAGATTAGACCGTAATATTGTCCTTCATCATGTCCAATTAAAAGTTGAAAGTAAAGACGTCGAAATATACACTAACTTAGATTAATGTTCATAAAACTTTAATCTCCTTAAGTGTTTCAACGAAACGGAGTTAATCTAATAATACGCCGTCTAGAAATTTGCGATTGTATTCTGTTGTACATTCGTTACATACAATATACACGTATAATTTTTTTTTTACAATTAAATTGTATACACGTTTTGAAACAAAAATATTCCACCTCTAAGGGTGGCAAATTATGAGATGAATCCGGTTTGTTAACCGATTTCAATTAGTCTTAGCAAGTAGATGTTACGAACACAGCGATAAGCAAACTTACGAGGTCAGTTTAAAGAAAGTTACAATTATTCCTTTCCTTAAATTACTTAATTAATTACGATCACCTCGAAGCTTAATACACTTTTTACATCTAAAAATTAGTTTTTATAGATTTGAAATAGTTATTTGTTTTGCAAGGCTGCAAAGTTGTTTGACGCAAGTGCTTATATTGAAACCTGAGCAAGCGTAGGAAGCAAATGATTTGAGCTTAGCGAGTGTTTCAAGACACGATACGCAAAACAACTTTGCTGCCGAGAGACACGCACAACTTTTCACCTCACTATAGGGAGGAAAATGGTAAGTGAAAAACAATTGAACTTTAAAACATCAGTTGAACTATAAAACAAAAGAAAAACTTTATCTTCGGATGCTTTCTGAATTTACACTTCATCAATTTTTATTTTTGCTTGTACTTTTGTTTTGTGTGATTAAGTGATTATTGAAATTATTTTAGTTCTTCGTCGAATTAAAATAATTTAATAAACACAATTAGTTATCCTTGTCAATTCAATATCAACAATAATAAGAATAAAATATACCAACGGATTTATATTATCTACATAAGTATGTAGGACAAATCGCGTAGTTGAACGTTTCATCGAAAGAAAAAGTTAGGTGCACCACAGTCCTTCGTCAAGTTTGAATTTTAAAAACCTTTTCCACGCTAGCGTGTTTCAAAAACACTTTTGCTCGCAGATTTCTAGTGAGAAAGAAAGCTAGCACTTTCCGAGCTAGTGAGGTGAAAAGGTAGTTTAATTTCTAACTTAAAAGTAGTCTGACTCAGGAAGTAGCGACAAGTGACGTAGTATAAATTTGGATATCTGTTTTCAAAAAGTACCTGGCGACCATAAATTCAAAAGGGTTGTGTCATTATACCAGGTGGACAACAGCGTTGGTGCTCAGTACTCTGTAGCGACGGAACGCAAACTTTGCGCAGTACTGCTGGCAATATTGATCTTCTTTACCGTTCTGCTAGTCGACGACTTCTGCTTCTACGTTTTGCAAGCTAAGAAGTTGGATAGACACTGTAAGTTGAGTTTTAAATCCATTACAACCTCTATGGGTTTATAGTTTGCATTGTGACCGGTAGGGCCAATTCTGGAAATGAACTTTTCAAAATTGGTTTTGGGTGTTCTGAGTAGTGCTCTGGAGTGAATTCCATTGCTCTGGTAGTAATATTATAGAGAATTTCCAAGTATAGAGAATTTCCAAGTTTGAAACCAGGTAATTAGTGTAGTTGTCTGTCACATTCACCATCATCTTCCACTCATATATATGTCCCACTGCTAGGCACAGGTTTCCGCTCAGGCGAGGATTTAAGCATAGTCCGCCATGCTGGCCCAATGTTTTCCTTAACTGAAAAGCTCATGGCACATCAATTCCGAAAAACTCAAAGCGAGCTCGGATTTGAAACCACCGCTTCTGCTTGAGAAGCTGTAGAAACTACGTCTGTCGTATTATTATGTTTATTATTACAAATAATAATTCTTTAAATTCTTTATAGTTTCGTAAATCTTTTTAAATTTTAATTCGGGACTTAAGCATGTATGAAACATATTTACCTCGATGTTTCGGACGTATTGCAACGTCCAAGGTCGCGGGGTATGTGAGATCACATAAAGATATAATCCCCTTTCAATCTCCGGGCGTTTACAATATTGATTGCAGTTTCGGGAGTCTCTATATTGGGCAGACAAAATACGCCATAGCGGAAAGAGTCAAAGAACATATCGCGGCTGTTAAGAACCGTCAGCTCAATAAGTCTGCAATAGCCGAGCATTTGCTGGAATCGGGACCAAACCACTGGATGGAGCGTCATGATCCCAAGATCCTTTCTACAGAACGTCATTACTGTAGTAGGATTGTACGTGAAGCTATTAAACTTGTAAAGCAACGTAATTTCAATCGAGAAGTCGGTTTTAAGCTTTCTTCGTCATGGGATCCAGTGATCAGCAAATATAAATGACATCAAGTATCGCCCGACAAGTCGCCGGATGCCGTGAGTATTGTGTGATGGTCTACTGGCATCCCTAGTGCTCAAATAAATAATGAGGACCATGTGCGGGTTATAGTCTCGAATTAAAATTTAATAATTTGTGAAAAATGTGAAAGTTTATAATCAAAGTTTTGGAAATCTCCTGTCCGTCTGTCTATGTATCGTCCCAAAACCTTTCGTCGCTTATTTGTGAACCTTATTGAATTTGTTCTTAATCTCTTATTGAATTTGTTGTGAAGACACCAACAGAGAACAAGCTATTTGTTTAAGTATCAAAAGGCATACCTAGATTCATCTTGAAACATCAACATCTCCATTGCAAAATTGTCCTCAATTAGAAAAGTAATAAATTTGAATAGAAAACTATAATAATTTCCTATCCCAAACATTTCAGGGGATGTGATAGTAAACTATGTCGGGTTCTACCTCCTCTGGTACGTTGTGATGATCCTGGAACTGCAGTTCGCGTTTACCGCTCTGTCCCTGCGCTCACGCTTTCATGCTGTTAACGACGCAATTGCGCTTACTGCAAAGCTGGTTTCTGTACCAGGTAAGTAATCGCCCATTGTAGTCTTCGTAAAACGATTTAATGGCAAGAATGATCCAAGCTTGCTTACGCAAGCTTAAAAACTTCAAAAGATCTATCCAAACTATAACATAATACGAACCATCGAACTATATATTTTTCCAATTTTTCAGAAAATTTTCCGGAAAAATTTGTACTATTTGACATTTTTCGGAAAATTACCAGTTATTAGATACTGGTCTAGACTTATGCGATGATAGAAAAGAGAAGAATTTCTTTCTACCTACTGAATTAGAACCAGCGACTGTTGGTTGGCCGGGACCACCGCTCTGCTACAAATCATATGAATTTCCTTATGTGCTTGTTGTAGATTCTTGTATTGGGTTTAAAAGGCTTCTTTGCCGTCAGCGCCACCTGTCGGAAGGAATTGTTTTTTGTATTGTTCGATTTTTGTTTCAATAATAATAACGAAGTTGTAGTGTTTTCATTCAAAATGGATGAATATCATGATAGTACAACGTCAAGATATTAAATAAATAATAAGCATGCTCGGAGCAGATTATGAAATGTTCAATGTGGCTTGGTAAATATTTATATATTATATCGAAATATCGTCTAATAACAGTCTTCTGTAGAGATACGGTATCACGGTACACGACGCTGTTGGCAAAATTAACGTAAGAGACCAAATATTTCTTCGAAAAGTTTTTCAAATCTGCGGCGTACAAGTTCAAGTAAATAAGGGTTTATATCCGAATCCAAACGTGGATAACAAAAGTGCCAACTGATCTAAATTGATGTTACGTGACATAGGCGTACAATTGTAAATTTTCCCAACAATTTTCCGCGTTAACTTAATCTAATCAAATTATGTGCAAAATCGTTACGTCAAATGATATAGATCCTATTACAATCTACCCTATATTAACAATTCAATCTATTGATTTCAGTGGAAAAGGCAAAAGATTCAGCTCCGTTGAACATCTTTGCAATCCGCGTAGCACCCGCGGAGAGTCAACGGTCTGCCAATGTGAGCCTGTTCGTCGATACAACGCCTGGAGAGAAGGAGCCACCTGTCATTATTACGAGAAGCTGTAAGCAGTATATCATCTTCTTGTCGAGACAATTACTAATACCCATAAAATAAAAACCGATGCTAAATTTATTTGGCCCTGTGAACAGTCACATGTACCTATGCGCGGTCGCAGTATGTAAAATTTGGATTATAATCTGCAGTCTTCGAGTACAACACAAATAGTTACTGAGATTCGAATATATCCAAGAATAAACCATGACTACACTAGTCTTGATAGAAACATGTACCGTATGGAAGCTACCATCAACTGACCTCTAGGAACTCAAGACCCTAATTTCTACCGATACTTAAGCTTAATCGTAACTTGAAAGCAAGTTAGCCTTAAGTACAGGGTTGTTAGAGTTGACAGATTCCGTACATTTGCTGACACCATTGTTTGAGTTCCATTTACAGAAATCAATGTCGGTCTCAGTACGTAAACATTTCAGCCAAGCAGGGATTTAGTGCATTTCAACAGGATTGTATTATACGGTAAATAACAATTTTCCAGCAAACAACGAACCCCGTTTAGTAGTTTCCGTCTGCGAGGCCATCCGCCGCCTGGCCGGCCTGCACAGCAGCCTATGTGAGGTCGTACGACGCATCGACGACAGCTACGGTTTACCCGTCGTCATCATCCTCTTATCTACTATGCTGCATTTGATTGTTACTCCTTATTTCTTGATTATGGAGCTAAGTAAGTTTGCCTTTAAGATTTAAAAGAATTTTGGTTATAGTTTTGTACCTTTGTTGAACCCTTCTCATTCTTTGGTTCGAAACGCACGTGCCGAGTTTCAGTAGCCTATTTGGGAGTATGCTTGTCTCAGGCTCCTGCCTGATCCTGTGCGCTGACTACCTACCCAGCGAAGATCTCACCGTTATAAGCCTGCATGTTGAAGTATATTTCTGAAGAGTTCTTGAAAACTCTTTGAAACCATGCGAAGTCCACCAAATTATATCAGTGACCCGTGTTCAATTCCTTTTTTTATCTGCCCTTTGTAAGACATCCTCAATCTGGTTGAAGTATACATCTTATGATCAATCTTAACGCATATTTCTCTTCAAGTGTTATCCATAATTTTGTGTCGTTATATTACCAATTTCAAGCTTCATTACTCAGATATTCTTTTTTTACATTTCAGTCGTATCAATAAATAGAGTGCACTTCCTCGTGCTTCAGTTCCTGTGGTGCGCCACTCACTTGCTGCGAATGCTCGTCATCGTAGAACCCTGTCATTATACCATCTTAGAGGTGGGTACCATTTATATCAACAACATACTTTGTACCCGTATGTATTTTTTCATAGACTATAGCCATAACAGAACGAATTATGCAATAATTGCAAGTGTTGAAACAATAATAAAGTAGAGAATTTCCTGTACTATCTGTACCAGGGTAATGAAATCCTCTCCAGGGACATTATTCAGAATGCCATAAAGTTATTTAGAAAAGTCCGTCATTCTCACACGGGTCCCAGAATGTGGGATCATCAAGGTTGCCTGTGATGGTCCTTGCGGCGGAAGATTGAAGTAAATATGTTATTTAATTCATTGCCGCAGCCTGATGCTGTTCAGAAGACAAATGCATTTTTGCAACACCAGGGATTTTTTAAGTGCTCAATTTTGTAAATGCTCTGTAGTCCTCAACCAAATCTCCTTCATATAATTGCACTATCATAAGACCTAAATAAACAAGTGATTTTGCAACAGTCATAATTCAGAATTCATAGACTGCTCAATTTTGTAAATACCCTGTGGTCCTCAACCGAATTTGATTCATTTAATTGTACCGCCATAAAACCTAAATAAACAGAGCGTTTTTGCAACACCCAGGGAAATTACAGACGGCTCTATTTTGTAAATGCCCTGTGGTCTTCAACCGAATCTCTTTTATTTAATTATACTGTTGTAAAGCCTACATAAAATATCCCGTAGTGGGATCGTTAGTATGTTAATTATGACTGTAAAATTATACAACGGTTACTCAATGACATGCTGAATTCATGGACGTAATTTGGACGCAACTGCTGCAGCAACACACGTAGAATTATTCAAACCGACATTGGCGACATTCTTTTCCCATTAGCTAATGCGTTTCGTTTCAATACTTATACTAGGGTAAAAATACCGAGGAGATGATATGCAAGCTGATGACGACAGCGCCGGTGACAGGTACCCTGCCGTCTCGGCTAGAGCAATTCTCGCGACAATTGATGCTACAGAACGTGTCATACTCGCCTATGGGCATGTGCACGCTCGATCGGCCTCTGGTCGCCTCGGTGAGTAACTCAGACCATCACCCATTTATAAGTTCGTCGGTAATACAAAAATAAGTTACACGTCCTTTGTAATGTAGTACTTTTATAGTCATTTAAGAAACGGAGCAAGAATTGAGACTTTTGTACAAACGAAATATGAGACTTAAATGGCACAATATAATTCACTAAAGTGAGAGAAATAACACAAAAATTACAATGATTACAAGAGCTTCGTTGTTCAGGATGATTACCGGAAATGAATTTCTCGGAACTTCAGACTAGTTTAAAGACACAGAGGGTCTAAGTAAAATATTTACTAAAATAATATTAATTTTTAATGAATATTATAAAGTTTTACTACTGAGATATGTATTTATTTTATCAATATTACAAATCTTAAAGCGACATTTCTCGTCAATCCCTGGTAGCAGTAAAGGTGCTTGGTTGCGTGACGAAAACCATCATAGATTTGTCAAAGGTGGCGCTACAGCAAAAACGCTGTTCTTTGACAGCGTGACACAAACAAAGATCTGTAACAAACGCATAGAGAAATTCGAGAGGTCTGCTAACTCAATCTTTAGCCCAGTTGGTAGAGGGGTTGCCCTAGATTGGCAAAACAAACACAGGGTGTTATTCCCGTTCTCCGTCCTACATCGGTCCGAAACAATTACTATCAAATAAGTAATACTCGACCATAATCAAAACACAATGTCAGGTATGAAGCTTCATTCGCATCATGCGTTTTTAAATTTGATCCAGTATTACTTTTTTGACAGTAATTGTTTCGGACGGATGACAGGGGTAGAACCCAGGTTCGCATTCTGTCAGATTGAAGGAACTTCTTTGTGTTCGAACTTTGTTATTAATAATTATTTACTGAATATTTCAGATTATCGGCGCGGTGACAACGTATCTCGTAATACTGATACAGTTCCAAAGATACGAGAGCGCAGTAGACTAATTTCTCGATAGTAGTGTAACAATTTGTACCGAGTTTGAATTGCAAAACGTTTTTAACAATATTTGTAATTTTTATGAATACCTACAATAGCATAATTTACTAGTGGTAGGGGCTCCTTACGTAAAACTCACCTGGGTATCTACCATCGCGCCACCTACAGCCTTCGTTACCGCTGTATCCTTCGAGCTCGCCATTAAAATAGCAACAGTTTCCAGCTCACCACAAAGGTACCTACTGTGAAAAAAACTCCACCTCTGGTTTCATCGTCCCTCAGTAGCAATTACCGCTAGTAGGGCTAGCACGACAGGGCGCAACTTGCGCGAGAGCGACAAGTGCAGGATCTCTGTGCAAGAATAGCAGTATATCGCGCTTTGTGTCGCTATCACGCATTTCGCGTACTGTTGTGCTAGCCCTACAGAATGCCATTTGTGGCCATTACAAGTTGCTGGATAGATTTTGCACTCTGCTAGATTGCTATAAAGACGTGTAAATAGAGGTTCAGGGACGCAAAACTACACCAGACTGCGGTGCTTCAATACAGTCCATGGAGCATTTATTGATTTGTCCCTCTTGCCCAAATACGACGATACCTGTACGATAGAAGATCTCAACTCTTCTGTACTGCCCACGGAACAAAGAAAGGCACAAGCATCAAATTCTAAATTCGGAGATAAATGAGTTTTTAATTGTTATTTCTGAGTAATTATATTTTTGATATTAAATATAGTTTATGTAATTATGTTAAATATACGTAACATATGATTTATACTTACATTTTTAAAATATAAAAAACAGTATTTTTTTCTCTTTAAATAGAAAAAATATTACTGCATATAAAGGGCACAACTAACTTAAACGTAACTTTTGATACTTGACTTATAATAAGAACTAAAGGGTACAAATTAGAGTCAGTTGTGCGTTTTTTTTATTATTATAAAATCTAATTATTGATGTTAGGTGTGACTTTTGAGCTGTACATAGAATTCACAACAAGTTAGGTAGATCGGCTTTTTTCTGATCCCAAATCTGTGTTATGATATAATGCTGGCCTTCCTCATTTTTCATATGAAAAGACTGTCGCCCTTGCTAGCACTTGTTTTGGTTTTTCTAGACAGGTTTTAGATAAAAATTATTAGTTTTTAATACTGTAGTTTTTTAACTCAACTTTCAAAAATATTCACAAGTAAATATTACCTTTATTTTACCTTTTTCGTTCCGGGGGCAGTACAGATAGCGCAATCACGGTGGCAAAGCACTGTTCAAAATCAATATAGACTGAAATAAAAGAAGCATTGACATGGTAGGAAGAAGTACAACTGATGTGTTCCAGATTTCAGGGTAGGGAGAGTCTACGCAACCGCATGCACAGACTTAAAATGTTACTTAATAAGCATCGCAAATGTATCAATTTTCCGCCAGGAGGAACTTCTGTGAGTTTGACGATATCTGTGCCATAAAACAAACCAGTGCTGTTAAAAAAATTCCAGCCTGTATCGTAGTTCCTGTTAATATTGTCATATAATTTTTTTAAAGTAATAATATTGAAATTATTGTGCAGATACGAGTGTTTTCATACAAACATTGTTAAGTACATATTAATATTTTATGTTTACAAGTATATATTAATTCGATAATAAATGGGCGTATTTTGCAGTCATGTTTTTTGTCTTTTTTAACGTACAGTATTACCTGCTTTTGCTTGCGAACGTACTGCAGCTTGATTTTGAGTTCCTCTTCCGATCGGAAACTGCATCTCTTCCGAGTCGAGGCGCATAATTGCGATTCACAACTGGCCGATCGGAAACTTCTGGTATTTCAAATCGGAACAATAGTTGATTTAACTCACAAATCAGAAAGATATAGTACGAATCAGGTTCATTTTCTCGCTCGGAAACTCATCTGATTTCGTTCAGTTCTCAATCAGTTCGATTCCAATGTGAATCAAAATCAGCATACTGATGCGATAATGCTAACAATGTACTTAACGGAGTGAAAGGTCTTAAAAAAATTGTGGTAGGCTTGTGGTTTGACCTACCGCTTCTGAAGGCATTGGGTTTTCAGAGTTTCTCGGAATATATATGCGAAATTTAATTTGAAATTCACTATGAGCTTTTTAGCCGCTCACGCGATGCGCTCCTCCTACCACAAAATGGCGGCTATTTAGTTTCGCAAATTAGAAAAGCATTCAGTTTAAATACAAGTTTTTATAAATAAAAATTATTATTCTGCATTGCTAAATAAATACCCTCCGTACTACCAACAAAAACATCTCAAATAAAATGCAGTAATACACCGCAAATCCTGCACTTAAAAAGCACTAATGAAATTTTTGGTGTACTTGGATAAATATGATAATATTCCGTTTGAGTCGTTCAAGCGTTTACCATGAAATTACTCCTTAAAGTATAGTTTATAAACATTTATATTCAGGGTAAACTTAAAAAATGCTAATAAACACCGAAATCACCAGCCTAAACAATAACACACACTTGATTGAAGGTGACGTATTTTTGAAGTTGTTTATTTTTTTTAAATGACAGAGCCAGGCATTAAAAACTTTATGGTTTGCTATAGTAGTTACCGAAATAGCAATTAATATTAGTTCTTTTACCTGTTATAACTTCGATATCCGATAAATCGGTATAAAATCATCACCGGCACCTCTAGGTGTGGTATGCGTCTACGGCTGCATGTTTCGCGTGAGCGGTTAGTAAACATCTTGTGGAAAAAATAAAAACAAGGACCATGGCCTAAACCCTCACCTGAGAAGACACCCGTACACAGCAGTGGAACGTAAAATATGTTGATGATCATGTGATATCTTAAGCGGTCAGTTAGATATTGTGCATGGTAATCTAATTTTTTTCTAAAGTTGTTTGTAAAGCCTTTGACACGGTGAGAGTCAGAATGGCGGGTGTACCTTAACGGATCCTGATCAATTTTGTATCAAAAAATGTACTTAAATTGTACTATTTAGTACTTCTGTTTAAAAAAAATTGTATCTCCATCAGAACAAAGTTATAGCAATATCAAGGTACACTCGCCGTACTGACAGTCATCATGGCTGGTATGGTGGTAAACTTACTATTTCTAAAATTTGCACCTTAATTGTACTCTAAAGTAAAATAAACTCCAGCTCAATCTGCTGGTCAGGTTCTGAGATATAAAGCTAAAATTGTGTTGAGTACGGAGACCAGGCTGGTCAAGACGTTCACGACAGCTTTTGGGCGAGATAGTTGATGAGACTAAGCTCAAGAACGCGGAACTCTACGTACTGTTGGCACACGTACCACGTTCACTAAGCTCTTTTACTGTATTCTTTGTTTTGTGGTTTTATTCTAATATTAATGCAAAAAACTCTGGCACTGCTGGACTGTCGCCACCATATCTGCGATTCAGCCACCATATCTAAGCGTGCTCACAAGCATTACTTACCCAAGATTTTTATTTTAACTGAATTTTATTTGAACTTACAATATACACAGGTGTTTCAAGTTATTTTGTTTGCTGAATCCATAATAACAAAGTCTTAACAACCAACAAAAATCATAGATGGAGCTATGGCTAAAAAGTCGTCGAAAACCAAATACAAAGATCCGACAAACAAGCACATAGAAAAATTCGTGAGGTCCGCTGGTACGTTCCGTAGCTGAGTTGGCATAGCGTCTGTCACGATTTGCTAGAAGACGTCGGTTCGAATCCGGCCGGATCGAACGAATTTTTTCTAAGTGTTTGATTTTTGTATTAATAATTATAACAAACTAGTAGAGTAATAAAAATCACTTAAAATTTTGGTGCAAAGACAAAATTACTCGTTATTTATTGTTCAAATGTGTATTTCATATTAATAGGTTTAAGTGCAAATGGACATAAACGCCATATATAGAGGTGGGAAAGCATGAGTAACACAAAGTTGGAACACATTGTACAGATGAAAATCTAATAGCAAAGTTAGTACAGTGTACTGCGCAAGTTTTAATGTATGCTGTCTGCTCATCCCACGAGAGCTGCATCAGTGTTGTATTTTGTATACTTAGTTGCTTTGATTTTGTAAAATTTATTTACCTGTTTCTGAAAAATCCTGCAAAGAGCACTTGAAGTAACAAGTGTTGTAGTTACTATTCGAGTGTAGGCGACATATGAATTAACACTAGAGCTCCTTGTGAAAGAGTTCGTCCAGGCAAGTATTGTCACCGTACTGACCTACAAATGCTGCCAAGCAGTAATATGAGCGCTACTACGTTGCGGTTTTGAAAGGTAATTCATAATAATTCATATATTCTTTGTGTCATATGGCTTGACAAAGATGTTACATTTTGACTCTAATAATTATCAGAGGTACTATTAGGTTGAGTGTTAGCTACAAGGTGTTCTGTGAGTTAGTGCGTTTTTTGGCTAATTTCTTTATTTCATAACCCCTGTTGACTTATTTTATGTGTCTATTTAAGTAGTTTTTGAGTGTTGTTAATTGTATTGGTAAGTAAAAGGTTTATAACTTTGTTGTAAATGTCTGATCCTCCTGATCCGAGGGGAGGCGATGCTGAGCCACGTGCTCAATCATCTCCTCGCCAGTTTTCGCAATCTCAGACTGAGGTAATGGAAGTAGATAAGATCATCCAAAGTAGGAAACGAGCCCCCACAGACGTGGAATCATCTCAACCTCCCAAAAAAACCAATACCTCACAGTCTGTTCCGTCCACCCAATTTACATTCACCAACCCAACATTCTTAAACAATAAAAACAAATACATGGCACAAGATATCGCCCCATTCATTGTACATGTGAGCAAACCAGTATCGGATCCCTCTTCCGGCACCGCATTACGCCCCATTAAATTTGGCCATTTTTTGTTTAGGAACAATGTTAAAAATATTGTCAGAGATGGTATCAAACGTGTTGGCAGAAATAGAATATCTCTTGAATCCAAAACTTTCAGTGATGCTAATGCTTTCCTTGACCACCCAGCTCTTTCTCCAGCCAAATATGAAGCGATTATCCCAAGTTACAGCATAACTAGAATGGGTATTGTCCGACAAGTTCCAGTTGAATGGACACTGGAGAAATTAGGTGAAATTAGTAGTGGAAGTTCCAACTGGTTATGGCTCTATTGTTAAGGCACGAAGACTTATTAGGAAAACCCATGACAGTAATGGGTGACCTGTATGGGTTCCCACCCAAACAGTGGTACTAATCTTCTCAGGTCAAAAACTTCCCTCTCATGTGTACTGTTTTCTCACCTTTCTCCCAGTGGAAACATATGTCCTTCCCATAATTCAGTGC